CACAAAGCTCAGTAAGCGTGGGTCATTTTGTGATACTTATGTAAAATGGGGATGGGCGTTGTAAGTTTGAGAAACAATGTATTTTATTATGCAAATATTTGTGAGATATCAGTCTTTTTGAAGTGGACAGATTGTGGGAAGAAGTCTAGTTAATATTTTCATGGTTGTATAATATAAAAATACGTGTAAATTATTATTATTAAACAGCATTATCATTCCACTGAATAAATACGTAATAATATTAATTAAATAATAGCTTACTACGTTTTACAACTACTAAAAATTAATCCACTGTTTGTTTGTAGATATCTTTAACTATACAAATTCTTACACTTTCTTCAAATACAATACCACTATATTTTTTTCTCTGAACTTCTGTATGAAATACTTATAGTTATAGGTACATACCTATTACCTAATGATGTACATAAATTAATTATAAATAAATAATAAATTGCTGTGAATGTAAATATAAATACTAAACTTATTTAAGTTATCGCAACTACCCTATGATTAATGTGCAATATTAAAATTAAATGTTATTTTATTGATGTATAAAATTTCGAATTTAGTAAAACATAAGGTTTTAGGGGCTTGTGTTTCTGAAACTGTAAATAATACCCCATTAAGAAAAAGTGGTTCAGAATTTCGTATAATATTAGTTTTTAATTAATTACATCAAGTATGAAGATGGGGCAAAATACAGTTTGAGAAACAGAGGCTGGAGCACTTTATAGAATAATCAATTCTGCATCGAATTCGTGAAATAAATACTTTAGAAACTAATTTAAATATGTTTTTAATTAACCCTATCCTATTTGCCTTCTGTCCATGCCTTAAAATGTAACAAAAAATAAGATGGGTCATCTTAAAATCAGCTTCTTAGGTAGTAAGTAATAAAAGATAACTAATATAAATATTTTTCAATTAGGAAACTTCAATGTTTCCGACTGGAAAAAACAGGTTCCTCCCTGACCTATTAAATAAGTCTCAACAAATTAGAGCAAAATAATAACGACATAGGTATTTAAGTAATAATACGATTATAGACACGAAAATAGACATTCATTAACTTATAAGATTCTCAGCTTAAGAAGACGAAAACAAATCTGAAAAGTTGCTTGAATGACATTGATTTTGCGACTGTCTTCGTCAGTGTGGCCATAAGAGACTATAAGTCGCTCAGAGAAAGTAATCCAGCAGACTTCATTCTCTCATTCTTGCATGTTTTCCGAAATATTCATAAATACGTAGATAGACAAAAGTCCTATAATATGGTTATAACGTACAGTAGACAGTATCTAAAAGCAAGTTTGCTTTAAAATATCAAAGCCACATGAAATTCAGTTAAATCCCAATGAAAACCACATTTTCCACTTAAGTAGCAGTTTGACTTTCTGCTCCTGACGTTTCTTAAACCCTTTACAAGTCAAAGTTATCCTAAAAACGGCAACTCTTTGATCTGTCTTGGCGAACAGTTGCAAAGGGGATGACATGACACATCTTTGTGCGCAAACAAGCCGCGAGCGATGCTCAGACAGGTCCGCTCTGGCCGGCGTCTGACAGCCTTCTGACGTTTCACGTTCCGAATTTGAGTTTCGTAATCTACATCTACCGCCGCGGGCAAGTTGGCATCTTTGACGCAAAAATTGCTTTTCAGATGCAAAATGAATTGGAATTTTGTTACAATGCAGAAATGCCTTTGATATAGTTAACTCTTTGCATTTGGTACGAAGTTCGCCGGGACAGAGTTTAATATAAAATCATATTTTATTATTCGCGAAAAGTGTTATTTTATTTAAGCCAAACGGAACAAGGATTCATTGCTTTCAAAACTTCATAGATTGAAGGGTCAATTAACGAATCTATCATAGACCAACACCACGACTGTCATCGCAAGGGAGTTATGGGAGGGATACAAGCACCCATGGCTATGGCGTTTGACTTGAGGGCTACTGCTGATTAGGTACTATATGTAGGTACTTTAATTACGTACACACTGACCACACGATATGAAATGTAGAGTTAGTCTTTGCATAATTTTACCACTAATAAACTTTTACATTTAGAACTTGTTTTAAAAGTTACAACTAAATAGTTTTGAATGGGAATTTAAAAACAAACAAAATAAGAAAAAATTGTCCCAAGTTATAAAAAAAAAATCGTTGTAGTCTTTCTTATTTCTTAGACACATTATCGTAAATGCCTGGCACATGGATTTTTTAACTAAGATCTTTATTTTCAAGCTACAAAAATTTTGTTTTTCTTTTTCTTTCTTTCTCGCATTTCATTCTTTTTAAGTTTTTCCTTTACTGAATAGTCAACTACCCAACGAAAAATTATCATCTGCGTACGATGTAGAGACGTGAAATGAGTTTGCAAAAGCAACCACTATAAGTATTTAGTCATCCAAACCACCATGGAATGGACGGACGCTCTCCATCGGCCGTCATTCCGAATACGAGTGGTTCATGCGACCGAACTAATGAAGACTGAAGAGTCAGTGAGATCCGTAATTAAACGTCAATCAAATTCCTTGTTAAACTTTACTGTGCCGTGTGTCACCAATGTGCATAGAGAGACAAAAAATAGGAAAGGCGAATGGTCGTGGAATCTAATCTCTATTGAAGTAGCCATTTTAGTTAAATAGTTATTAAATTTTTGGTTTTTGAACGAGGAGGGCCGACCCCAAATAATGGGAACAGGCACGGAAAGAAGTAGGTAGTTATTAAATTTTTGGTTAATGCATTATGTTAAGTTCCTTTTATCTTTTCGTCAAGTTGTTTGTTTAGTCTCCACTGCAGATGCACAATCCTGCGTTATTCATCACCGGCAATCATTTTGACCAGCGTACCTACACGGGTATTTACTTAATTTAAATGATAAATACTCATATGAAAACATCATATTCATTTTATAAATAAATCTTATTGAATGTTGGATGATTCAGATTCAAAACACATCATCGTTAAAATTAAATGAGAATTTTTGAATTCAATTATTCATTCTGCCAAATGTATTCGGATAACCGGAGTGTATTGTTTTGAATATTTAAACAAACCGAAAGTTAACTCATTTTTCGTTCTGGTGAAAAACCGCTCATATCGCTAAAGAGTACCTAATAATTACCAGAATTCTGATGAAACGAGGTAAATAACCCAAGACAATGAACTAAGGTCATATAAGTAAGTATTTCCATTGAAAGTTTCGTCGAAAAACAGTGTTTTAATGGCGATCTATTATTAAGTCAAACAAACATTAATAAAGGATTGCGGTTATGGTAACAGCATAGTATATTATTATTATATTAAAAAGTTATTAAAACTATAATTAATGAAAGTCTAACTCTAAACAAACACATTAGTGACTTTCTTAAAATGTGTCAAGTGGGTGCTGTTTCAAAATCTTTGGGAATCACTGGACTAAGCACAACATGAAAAAAATGGCACAATGGCTCGATTACTTTATTTTTCTATGATCGACATAAAGGCTGCGTTTTCCCAATAAAAAGGAACATTCATAGATAAATTTTAACTAATGCAGTGTCCCAACGATATCGTCGGTCCCCCTTGTAGGTGGACGTCCCACGCTGCGTTTTCCGGTACGCGGCCTCCATTCCAGGGAGCAGGGAAGCGCTGGACGCAGGCCGCTACCAATCGATCAACATGGAAAGCATAGGGAGAGGGCTATGTTCAGCAGTGAACGTCCTATGGCTGAAATGATGATGATGATGATGAGTGTCCCAACTAAAAGTTGAACTTATATCCTCTGAGTCGAGAACGCCAATTTCTAACTAACCACTAAACCATGAGAGAGTCAATCGTGAAATAAAATTATAATAAAAATAAACTTTTTTAAAAACAAGCTTTTATTCTGAATTTCGAAAGCTTGTATCGCGCATGGAATTTATTCCTCTTTTTCTCTGTTTGCGCTACAAGCTTTCGAAATTCAGAATAAAAGCTTGTTTTTAAAAAAGTTTATTTTTATTATAATTTTATTTTACACTTTTTAGTTATATCTTAATCTCAGGACCCTGGACATTCCAACGAAAAAAGAAGCTCGAAAAGACAAATCCAACGAACCCAAACTCGATGAGTTTCCGCCGTTTTGTTTAGGAGTTCCTATGGCCACCTCCCGACTCCATCATCAGACCAGCTCAATGGTACCATAATATTGCATTGTCATCGTACTTACATAAGTATACCAAATTTCAGCTCAATCGGTTGAGGAGAACTGTTCTTAAATTCAGTTGCAAGATTTGTCCCACACATACTAACAAGTGAAGTCAATATAAAGCTTGTAATAAAACAATACGCCATGTTTGCAGAAAATAATGTGTCTTTAAAAAATTATATTGCATCAGGAATTTTCCAATTCGTTGGACGGAAATTAATTATTTTTACAAAGTTTACCTCAATATTCTAAAGCACGATTTTACGTCTTACGTGCGGTACTATAATACTAAGATAGCAATTAAGTAAGTACAGTTAATCCCTGCATATTATATTATAGGAAGTACTTAGTACATTCAACCGACCAAACTTTGACTCATACAATACACGCCGTCTCAACGGATACTACAAAGAATGACTCAGAATTTACAATAGGAGTAGCACGACTGTAATTCTGACATAACTCAATGTTCACTCGCCATAGGTAGGTATTAGGTAGAGACAGCCTAATAAAAGCTATAACTAATCAACGAGCATTACAACTCACCAATCCGTCAGTCCAATATGAGGAGTGAAAGTGCTTTAAACTCCTAGTGAAAATTAACTGGGAAGGGTACAATACGGGATAAATAAATCCAAATCATGATTGTAAAACAGCTTTTGATATTTGGGTTGTTTAACTAAGTAAGTATACTACGCGTAACGCGATAAAGATTCAAAAGAAAATAAATACACGCGAGCAAACCCATGAGAATGAAGTTAGTTTGCTAAGCGCATTTTAATATCGTGCTAGCCCCACCGACCTGTTTTGTCTGCAACTTGCGATGCCCGACCAGTCATCTCCATAGTTGTGGTCAAAGAACACGTTTTTCTTCTTTTTGTGCTGTGTTTATTTAATTTAGTTGTAATAAATATGCGTACTCTGGTGAGTTATTTATATAAACTTGTACTTAATGAATGTTGATTGTTATTAAATAAGTGTTAAATGTAGTTATTAAGTTGTAGATAGGTAGTCATAACAAAACAAAAAAATAAAGTTGGTATAGGTAACGTGAATGTGTGTAAATTACGTACTACCTACTCTGCACTGTGATAGCATCTTTTGTTTATAGTTGGGTTCGAGATATTTTAGTTTGTAAATAAAAAGTTCAATTTATTATCAATATACCTACGCAAGGACAACCTAACTTTCCCCTAGGACAAACTGGAAACCATCCCGGTTATATAATTTGCGGTCAACCTGCAGATCCTGGCTACACAGGTATTGGCTTAATACCTAGGCTAGATACTGCTATTTAAAAAATTAAAACACCTGGTCAAGTGCGAGTTGTGCCCGCCTATTGAGCTATTCCCTACAGAACTTTCGGAACAAAGTCCTCATTTCTCACTACAACCTCCCACTTTTCGTCGCCTACAGGGTTTCGGTAAAATTATGTAGGTAAACGAAGGAGAAGGTTAGGTCATTTCATTAAAATAAAATGTGAATGTTGTGATATTAAGGTAAGCGCCCCCTACTTCGGTATATTAAGGCTCTTACGACTTTAACATTTTATTTAAAAATAACCAAGCATGATATCAGTATGAAAGCTTTTGTATGCTAAACTTTGGTCTTTTGACAGTAAGTTAATACATAATTTATAGTTATATAGTTTGAACTTTTTTTTATATTAATTTTTCTGCGGACCTCTTGTTTGGATCCTGTTTCGTGACAAAATTTTGCTCTGTTTCTAAGTTCGTGAACTCATGTCCCCTATTTCGGGATAAGGTTTTATGCATACAGTTAGGATATTTTAATAATAATAATTAACTTTTAAAAAAAATAAAACCGACTTCAAATGCGTGAACACAAAAAAAAACTAAAAATTAAAAATATTGCGTATAAAAAAGTTCATCCCCAATTTTCCACCCTTGGGGGTGAAATATTTTCTTCAAATTCGCATGAAACCACCCTTTTGATAATACCTATTCAACAAAAAAATAATAGTTCAAATTGATTTATAATCAGCGGAGATATTGCGTATAAAAAAGTTCATCCCCAATTTTCCACCCTTGGGGGTTGTTTTTTCTATTATTAAATTTAAATGGGACCACCCTTGAGGTATTACCTATACGCCAAAAAAAAATTTGTTCAAATCGGTTCATAATTGGCGGAGTTATCGCGTAACAAACATAGAAAAAAAAAAACATACGGGTCGAATTGAGAACCTCCTCCTTTTTTGAAGTCGGTTGAAAAATACGTGAACGTGAACTGGGAAAGTCGAGCGCGCGCGCACTTGCCATTTTATTGTTTCTTAGGAGTCAGATTGTTTCTTAAAAAGAACTGAAGTTGAATTTATAAGTACAATATTAAAAGACTGTTTTGTTGATTTAAGTCTGTGTAGATGATTAATAAGAGTGTCATAGTATTATTAATTAAGTACTTTCAGATACATACAGCAATAAGTGAGAGTCAGACTGATTAGAATAGAATAGAATAGAAAACTTTTTATTTGCAAGAAAGGTATACAAGCAGGCAATTACTAACTTTATTATTTAGAATTTTCATAATTTTATTAGTACAAATACTAGTTCTTACCAAAAATTACAATTAATACCGAAAAATATAAATAAAAATGACTTTATTTTCCATAAATACGTATTTTATTTTTCTTTTTATGTACTATTATCAAAACTAAAAATCACTAAATAAATACTAGACCAAGTAACTTTGCAATCCGGCCGGATTGAAAATGATACCGGATTGCAATCCCTACTTGTAGCAATTATTTAAACGAGCTAAATTGGTTTGTGATTAATACTAAATACTTTTTCCTCTATTTTAAAATATGGGATTCTCTACAACAATCGCGCGATCAAAACTTATAGTCGAGTCTGCAATGAGTTCTTTCTGCTCTTCTTCATAATATAGGTACCTACCTATCAGTCACCACCCGCTTTAAGAAAACTGTTGGAACACATGGCGCGAGATTCCAATTTCAGCAATAAAGATCGCAAATATTAAAGTAATAGTTTGTCTTGAGGAGGTAGGTACGTAATCCTGAAAATGCACACATTTAGAAATCCTTTTTGTCCTAAACACAATTAGGTGGTACGACTTCTGCATCAAAATGTGGTCGAAAATAGTCGAAATGTTTCAACCAAACTACATAACCCCACCACCCTAGACCCAATATATTTGTTGTTTGAGGCTCACCGGTGAGCCGCGTGGCGTTCAACGTGTAAAATAACAATTCACTCACCACTTCCAGCTCATCTTCCTCTCAGTCCTGCTGGTGGCATGGCTCGGGCATGCTACTCCCATCAACCCGGCCCGCCGCCTGGTGAACAGGCCGACGGAGGCGGGCGACTTGTACCCGCGCGCGCGCCGCTCGCCGCAGGATGTGAAGGGAGGATCGCCTATTAAAGGTAACTTATCAAACTCACGAAATGATAGTATAATACATACTATGTTAGGGTCTACGCTAAAATTCGCACAGGCGCTCGTATCTACATAGGTAGGTATATCAAAAATAGCATGAGTGGCACGGCACAGTTTGGCCAGAGTAAATACAAATGAGTAGGTCATCTTCATAGAAACGAGCGCGGTGTGCATGTGAGCGCGCCAATAGGTACGTACGCATGACAAAATTTAGCGTTGATTAGCGGTGAGGTGCGCTGAATTTTGTCAGTTTCTCATATACAAACCGCGCTCGGGCGTTTCTATGAAGATTACCTCATCATCATCATCATCATCATTTCAGCCACAGGACGTCCACTGCTGAACATAGGCCTCCCCCAATGACTTCCACATCGCACGGTTGGTAGCGGCCTGCATCCAGCGCCTTCCCGCTACCTTTATCAGGTCATCGGTCCACCTTGTGGGTGGACGTCCCACGCTGCGTTTTCCGGTACGTGGCCTCCATTCCAGAACCTTGCTGCCCCATCGGCCGTCAGTTCTGCGTACTATGTGCCCAGCCCACTGCCACTTCAGCTTGCTGATCCGTCGGGCTATGTCAGCGACTTTAGTTCGTTTACGGATCTCCTCATTTCTGATTCGATCTCGTAAAGAAACACCGAGCATAGCCCTCTCCATAGCACGCTGTGCAACTTTGAGCTTCTGTATAAGGCCTATAGTGAGGGGCCACGTTTCCGAGCCATAAGTCATCACAGGTAACACACATTGGTTGTAGACTTTCGTCTTCAGGCACTGGGGTATTTTGGACGAAAAGATGTTGCGTAGTTTCCCGAACGCTGCCCAGCCGAGTTGGAATCGACGAAGATTACCTACTCATTTGTATTTACTCTGGTATGGCGCCATAATATCACGCGTGTGACGGTTTTCCAAACGCGCGGCTGGGTGCGCGGGCGCACGCAACGGGTAACCAAAGCAGGTTAAAGTTACATCATCAATATCATCATCATTTTAGCTACAGGACGTCCACTGCTGAACATAGGCCTCCCCTATGATTTCCATATTAAACGGTTGGTCGCGGCCTGGATCCAGGCAGCTCCTGCCAAGCTCTATCAATACTGTTTTCTCGATTCTGACTCAACTGAATTACCAACATTGTAATGCATTGTAAAGGCATTGTTAGTAGACTTACGTGAGGCGGTTAAACTTGAATCGGCGATTGCAACAACCATTTTACACAATAATTGTTCACTTTTAACACTCAAAAGTACGGAATTACACAACACATAAATCTAAATGATTTATCATTTTTGCTAAAATCCTTCGATGCAAAATGACGCGACGCGCGTGCACTGTCTGAACACGACATTTTCATCCACCCGCACTTTATATTTATTTTATAATTTGTTGAATTTTTGGATAACATCACGCGTGATTTGTTGTTAAATTATTATTTGTAAATTGTAAATACGAATATTTTACATTTTATTTATTCTCAGTTCTCACACACTGTCACACTGGGTTTTCTTGATTTGAATGATTTTCAAAAGGACCACCAAGAGTCGAATCGTTGAGATACTTTTAAGACCTGTCAAAACGAAATCCACTTTCTGGGAGTCAACTGACGAATTGATTAATTTGAAAGCCTAATATTGAGACTGGCAAAGAGCCAGCTTTCGACGTATAATTTATTTTAATAGTTTAGCGTTTTTGCTAAATAGTTAAATCTTGATTTTACGAGCGTCCTCTTGACATTGCCATTGATCTTGATTCTTGTATCGCACTCATGTTGATAATACATGGTGTGTTAAAAAGAACTGAATCATTATTTCCTTGTAATATCCTATCCTATATTTCCCAGGTCGAGTCCCGCTGACCCGCACTCAGCCAGCACTTCGCAAAGGGGAATACATCTGCGGGGGACGCGTCTGCAAGCTGCAGCCGGGAGAGGTGCCCAAGGGATGCAACGGGATCTGCCAGTACCCTATCTAGGATATTAAACTAGTCTTTATTACTTCTTTGTGTTTAATTTGTTATTATTAACGTCCTGTAGTGACACACTACGGGACTATTCCCACCGCTGCAACTGCTGTGTAACCCACGCTGAACTGTCCCACCAAACTGAATGACAGGGGGGCGCTACGATCGTTCAACTATATGGTTTCCAACATGGCAAAAATCGGAACCAGCGATCCGGTATTGACGGTGGCGCCCCGCTGTCAATGTCATGGATAGGACAGTTCAGTATATTGGAACTATAGCCGGAAGTTGACACACTAGTCAATTGACGTACCTACTTTTAAAAGCTGGGGCATTTCACGCGAAGCGGACAGCGAAAATCAAGTCAGGTTTTGGATTTTGTTCATATTTGGATTAAATGTACTGCTATATGACCTGAATGGATGTGCATCATTATAATTTTTTTATGAAGCTTAGTTTATTTTTTATGAGCGTTCAAAAAATTGCTAAAATTTTAGGAACAGATTTTTCAGAGGCTATTACTGCTATTATTACATTTGATTAAAAATAAACTAACTATTGGACTTTTGAGAATAAATAACTGTGTTTCTTACTGTTTACTACAAATTTGAAATTTCTTATTTGTTCACATAGAAAACCGGAAGTAAAGTTTTAAAATCAAATTTTACAAAACTTCGGTATTTTTTAATTTTTTTATTTTTATTTTAAAATATACCTAGTAGTCTATAAATAACATGTGTAAAGTTGTAGAATGGAGTCTGTATTGGTTTTTGATTTAGACGCAGTACAGTGCGAGCGCGCCGCAATGAGCGCCATACTGGCTATCGACATTTGGCTACTGTATAAAAATTATTTGTTCGAAAATAACTGAAACGTTAATATTGTTGCATGCATACTCTTAAACAATTATAATTTTGACTCGGCGAACTTTGTACCGNATTATAATTGTTTAAGAGTATGCATGCAACAATATTAACGTTTCAGTTATTTTCGAACAAATAATTTTTATACAGTAGCCAAATGTCGATAGCCAGTATGGCGCTCATTGCGGCGCGCTCGCACTGTACTGCGTCTAAATCAAAAACCAATACAGACTCCATTCTACAACTTTACACATGTTATTTATAGACTACTAGGTATATTTTGAAATAAAAATAAAAAATTTAAAAAATACCGAAGTTTTGTAAAATTCGATTTTAAAACTTTACTTCCGGTTTTCTATGTGAACAAATAAGAAATTTCAAATTTGTAGTAAACAGTAAGAAACACAGTTATTTATTCTCAAAAGTCCAATAGTTAGTTTATTTTTAATCAAATGTAATAATAGCAGTAATAGCCTCTGAAAAATCTGTTCCTAAAATTTTAGCAATTTTTTGAACGCTCATAAAAAATAAACTAAGCTTCATAAAAAAATTATAATGATGCACATCCATTCAGGTCATATAGCAGTACATTTAATCCAAATATGAACAAAATCCAAAACCTGACTTGATTTTCGCTGTCCGCTTCGCGTGAAATGCCCCAGCTGTCAAAACGCGACTGTATGGCAACTATAGACACCCTATCTACACGGGAAACTAGCAGGATTTCTTGCACCAAGCTGTACCAACTGAGATCATAATTCAGAATCTATGATCGAGCTCACTCTAAGACGCTCTATAGATGCCTATGGCGGCCCAGAAGCAACCGACACATATTCTCGTTTGATCATAGATACTTTTCTAATTTTTCCAAGCGTGTAAAATAAAACAGCAACTACAGAATTAATCTTTATTTCCACTCTCAGCTGCTCTCTTTAAATATTTCTGTTCCCAACGCTGCTGGTTGGCTTTAAATGTATCCACGTCCAGTTTCTGGGCTATGATCCGGCCGTAGTCAGTCCCGTTGAGGAGGTTGCTTTTGTCTGATATCTCAGCCATCAGTTTTATTTTCTGTTCAGGGCTGCAGGACTCGAAGATGCGTTCGAAAGCGCGGGAGCCATGCTGGGACAACGCCAGCGTTTGGTAGTAGCCCTGGAAAGAGAATAGATAATTTATCATCATTGTTTGCGCGCTCGCATCCAGGCACCTCCCGCGACCTTCACCAGATCGTCGGTCCACCTAGTAGGAGGCCTGCCCACGTTACGTCTTCCGGCTCGTGGTCGCCACTCAAGAACTTTCCTGCCCCAGCGGCCATCAGCTCTACGAGCTATGTGCCCCGCCCACTGCCACTTGATTTTAGCGATTCTGCGGGTTATACAGGGTGTTAGGTAAATGGGTATATGAGCCGACACTAGCCCATGTTAACTTGGGTTTATAAATGGTATGGTGAAGTCAGAAATTTGATATTATCATTTTTTTTTAATTGTTATACAAAATAAATTTTATAAAATCCGATTTGTATGAAAATTTAAATCAGTGGTTCCCAAACTTATTTAGTCTACTGCCCACTTTGAGAATAAATTATTTTTAGCGCCTCCCATTTTTGTAGTCAAGAGTCGAGCTCAGTCGGTGTCTAAGAGTCCTCCTAGTAGACGACGCCTCCCAAGCCTCTACACAACGTCCCGATTTTTTTTCTGGGTCTCTTACCGCCCCCATTAAGCCTGCAGCGCCCACAAGGGGGCGTTATCGCCCACTTTGGGAAAGACTGATTTAAATAATTAAAATGAAGATATCAATTTTCTGACTTCACCATATGACCATACCATTTATACGCCCATGTTAACATGGACTAGTGTCGGCTCATACCCATTTACCTAACACCCTGTATATTGAAAAAGACATGTATTGAAAAAGATTTGAAATTGAATGTAACTAACCTTGAGTCTCCACACTAATTTGTCCCTTGCCTTGCCCCCGACGCAGGCGCTGCGGCAGAAGGCGTCGGCCACGTGTGAGCCTTTCGCGTCTTGCAGCACCACCAGTAACTCTTCAGCGGACAACTCTAACAGGCTGTTCACTGCTTTGGCTGGCCTCTGGGGAACGACGTAAATTGGCTTGTTTTAGAGTAAGATAAGGAAAACGCAGCGTGTGACGTCCACCTACAACAGCGGTTCCCAAACTTATTTAGTCTACTGCCCACTTTGAGAATAAATTATTTTTAGCGCCCCCCATTTTTGTAGTCAAGAGTCGAGCTCAGTCGATGTCTAAGAGTCCTCCTAGTAGATGACGCCTCCCAAGCCTCTACACAACGTCCCTTTTTTTTTCTGGGTCTCTTACGGCCCCCCTTTAAGCCTGCAGCGCACACAAGGGAGCGTTATCGCCCACTTTGGGAAAGACTGACCTACAAGGTGGACCAACGACATCGTAAAAGTAGCAGGAAGGCGCTGGACGCAGGCCGCTACCAACCGGGCAGCATGGAAAGCATTGGAGGAGGACTATGTTCAGCAGTGGACGTTCTATGGCTGATATGATGATGATGGGAGTAAGGTACCGTAGATAGATAGATGTACTTTAATTTACTCAAACACCTCAAAGAAATACCAAATCGTAACGGCACAATGCAGGTTGGCGCCACTGGTGATGACTTCTGTCACCGTAACAGTATGTCTCTCCAAAGGCAAAAATATGTACTAAGTTCTCTCTTTTTTTTTTCACTTTATAAAAGTGTAAAAGAGAAGAGACTGTCACGGTGACAAAAAGTCACCACCAGTATCAGTGCGGCGATGCAATAGTCCTCTTACTGATTCAACACTCACCAGTTGGCGCCACTGTCTTTGCCATTAGCAAATGACAGTGACCTTATTCTACAGTGGCGCCAACTGGTGAGCGCTAAAACGATAACGATGGCGCGGAGGCGTGTGCCGTTGTAAGCTTGTAACAGCGCCATCTGTTGATTGATTCCTGCCACCAGTTTGTAGTGACGAGTCGATAGGTGTCGCCACATACCTCTGCCAGGCCTGCCTTTAGAAGCCTCGCTGCCGCAATCTAGGGCTGCTTCTAGGTCCATCGCTGCTGCACTCTAGGGCTGCCTATACAGTAGTGTCCACTGACCTGGAACTCCAGGATGCTCTGCAGCATGACGGAGCCGTGCACGTGTATGAAGTAGTCCTCGTGCAGCTGCGACGTGTCCAGGCGGCTGAGCGGTAGGAGACGTAAGCACGCCACTGAGAAGTACTTCTGGCCTGCCTCGGTACTGCATTCCAGGGCTGCCTCTAGGTTCTGGAAATAGTATTGACGTCATCATTATGTTTGAAATGAGGTGCACCTTGCGGCCTACTTAGACCCCCCTAAGGAAGGACGATTGAGAGAGTTTCCCTACGTGATCAAATCATAAAGTAACTGCTACAGATCGCAGAATTGCAAAACACAAGTGGCAGTGAGCGGGGCACTTAAGAGCTTGACCAGGTGATGCCTTTTGTCACTCTCAAGTTTTGAAAATGCGCGACTGCATGTGGACAGAATATATGAACCTCTAGTAGTCTAGTATCTCCGAACAGAACGCGACATCTGAACCAGCTCTTAGCTCGGAGACCCGATAGCAATTTAGCGATTGGGGTATAAAAGTTCTCGAGTGGCGACCACAGGCTGGAAGACGTAGTGTGTAGCAGGCCAGGCCTCCCACTAAGTGGACAGACAATCTGGTGAAGGTCGTAGAAAGAACCTGGATGCAGGTACAGGACCGGTCGTTGTGAAAATCCTTAGGGGCCTTTGTCCAGCAGTGGACGTCATTTGGCTGAAACCAACCATAAACTTACCGTGGCGTCTCGCGCGCAATCTTAGCGAGCGAGCTCGTCGAACATCGCCTCTAACTGTTTGTGTACTTTTAGTGATAAAACCGCCTAAATTGTGCCGTATCTTTTGTATATTTCTTTCTTTCTTGTCTTTTGTGGTGGAACTGGTGTACAATAACGTGTCGCACCTTCGGTAGAACAAGGGCACAATTGTCAAAAATTGCAAAAATGAGTTAAGTATGCAGAAATACTTTAAACATGTGTTTTCAACTGAAGAGACAAAAACACCCGTTTAATTCCTTCAAAAAACCGCCAGAGGCCAAAAGCGGCTTTGTCTTATTGGCGCTTTTATTTTACTGTTCTGACGCGACAAAGTCTCATTGGTCAGTTGCGCCGTTGGCGGGGAATAAAGTACTTGTCATTTGGAGCGCTAACGCCGCAATGGTAAATATGCCCTTTAATGTTTTTGGTTTCTGGAGTGACAAGGCCACATCTATCACACTTATGCCTAGTAAGTAATTCAAAAATTGGAGGGAAAAAGTCGTTCAGACAGTTATGCCCTTGTCCGTCCAATTTTTTTTTATTCTTTGGGCTTAAAGTCGTGTGCAATTCCAAAAAATGTGCTTAGAAATTCAACGATTTAACTAAAACTCCATTATGAAAGGATTAAATTACAATTAAAAACAGTGTAGGTACTGAATCCCAACTAATATTATAAATGCGAAAGTAACTCTGTCTGTCTGTCTGTCTGTCTGTCTGTTACGCTTTCCCGCTTAAACCTCGCAACCGATTTTGATGAAATTTGGCATAGAGATAGTTTGAGTCCCGGGAAAGAACATAGGATAGTTTTTATCCCGGTTTTTGAAACAGGGACGCGCGCGATAAAGTTTTTCTGTGACAGACAAAATTCCACGCGGGCGAAGCCGCGGGCGGAAAGCTAGTAAAACATAAAGAGACAATTTTTTTGTTAAGTTTATGTTATTTTTATTAAAATTTTATTATTTTATAAGTAATAACGAGCGTATTTCCAGAGTTTTGCTACAGTATTTCCAGAGTTTTGCTATTATTTGTTTTGGAACAGTAGTTACAAAAGAGTGAAGACTGATTAAAGAACTAACGGCCGCCCACGACTTCGTACGCGTGTACCCCGTCTAATCCCCTCAGGGTAGGAGTTTCGTAAAATCCGTTCTTAGCGGATATCTACAGTCTACACCCTATAAGGAACCTACCTGCCAAATTTCAAGTTTGTAGGTGTTATAGTTTCTGACATTTTGTAAAGTCAATCAGTGACCTTTCGCTTTTCTATAGATAAATACTAAAAAGTCATGTTATCTCTAAGTTTTATTCACTTTTTTTGTGTGAAGTTACTACACACTTTTAAATTAATAAAAAAAATACATTATTTATGCAAAAACACTGCTTACTTTTATTCCAACATCATCCTAAATTAAAACTCAAATTGGTCATAACTACAAAATAATTTAGATATTGGTGGAACAAGGGCATAAATGAACCCCTTCCTTGAAAAGAAAATTTATATAAAAAAAACTAAAAGCTTTTTATTCTTGCAAGCAATGCGCGTTAAAAGTATATAGTTTATGTCATGCAAAGGTGGACCACTTTACAGCAATATTATCAGAGCTAGACCATATTAAATCCAATAAAAATCTTAAAATAGCTCTCCTGTAAAATTGCAAAAAGTGCAATTGTGCCCTTGTTCTACCGAAGGTGCGGTGTGTTTTATGTATCTATCTACACTTACCGCGACGAACTGCGCCTGTCTCGCCCTCAGCCGCACGCAGGCCTTGGCGATCGCAACGAGCACGCCGGTGTTGCCGATCACTAGCGCGCCGAACTTGGCGCTCAGCTCGACGAACATGGCTCAAGACTGTTTGTGTACACTCACCGCGACGAACTGCGCCTGTCTTGCTCGTAATCTTGGTTAGCGAGCTCGTGGAACATGGCTCAAGACTGTTTAGTTGGGTCTATGCTAGACGATCTTATCACGATCTGAGCGCAAACCGTTCTACTCGTGGTGTCATAACAATCACTATAGCTCTCCTTTGCGCGATATAAATACCTTTTTTTTCGTCAAAAAACCGACAATGGGCGGAGCACAATCGAGTACGAGCCAAACGCTCGTAAGTCGGTCCACACTACACGAATTTTAGCTCAGCTTGTGCTCGGCTCGTCTAGCGTACACTCATCGCGTCGAACCGCGCCTGTCTTGCTCGCAATCTTAGCGTGCGAGCTCGTCGAACATCAGCTCGATCTGTTTGTGTACTTTATAGCGCTAAGGCCGCCTAAATTGTGATCTTTTCTATATTTCTTTCTTGCCTTATGTGGTGTACAATTTAGTGTGTAATATCCATCTACACTTACCGCGATGAACTGCGCCTGTCTCGCTCGCAGCCGCACGCAAGCCTTGGCGATCGCAACGAGCACGCCGGTGTTGCCGATCACTAAAGCGCCGAACTTGGCGCTCAGCTCGTCGAACATCGGCTCGAACTGCAGACATGTAAAAAAAAACTCAGTAAAACTCATTTATTTCTGTAAGTAGGCTTCAGGACAATAAATGGGCCAGTGCTGAGAAGAAGCAGCGCAAGAAACTCAGACACTATTGGACATTGGACATGGACATTGATTGTTATTGTACATCTGGACAATATTAAACCAATCAACCTATATCGGTATAGAGTGAGACAGTACTGTGAGAGTGACGTATTTTAGATCATATGTGCGCATTTCCTTACATGTTTATTTATACCATTTGTTACTTCGATAGTGAGTGTAGTGGAAGTTTATAAATGAAAAGAGTGGACTGTATGAAATTAATTATCTATTCGGTATAAGTTTACAATGTTATCGAGACCGTTTTGTGCAAAGTCGTTGAAGAGAGTGCGTCAGGATCGTCTTCTTCGATGTTCGCTCGCGAACCGAACATTGCTCGTTCGTTCGCCGAACGCTCGCCGCTCCCTCCGGTCACGCCGCCCGCGGGCAATGTCCGTGAGTAGACACCATTATACTGACAAATATCGGCCGACTAAATGTCTGTATACTTGATTTCGAAAGATGATAATTCGATTTTTATTATATCGAACATGTTTATTTTATTTTATTTATTTTCACCAACTTAAACTATCTTTACAGGTCAATAGCCTAATGCGATAGCATAAATGTTGTGTCCGTAATTCAGTTGTGCGGTATTTTATTCCAACGATGCTTGATTGGTGCGATGTAACGTTTTTGCGAAAAATCGTGTAGCGAAAAACCCTACAGCGATTGCTCATTATTTCGGTAATTTATTTGTTCGATAGTATGTCGTTTCGGTTCGAAACGCCTATTTTATTAAATTATCCTGATATTGTATTTGGTTGACATTGACAGTTTATAATATTGTAACTAATTGTGGGTATACAAATAATAAATCAGTTATGCTTTGACTTGAGTTGATGTTGTATCTTTTACCTGACATTACAAGTACAATAAGTAGGGAACCTATAGTCTGCGGACTGTCTAAGCATATACATACCTCTTCCTTACACTGGCAGTTGTCTATGAGCCGCTGTACGGTGAAGTTGAGCATGGGCACGGTGGCTAGCTGGCCGAGCCGGTTGATGAAGCACTTGGCGTAGATCTGGGTATACATCTTCTTCTTGGCCACGAATAACGCAGCCTCCAAGAGCCTAGAACAATGAAGAATAAAATAAAGAAAGAGAGTTAAAAATAGTTGAATGTTGTTGTTCAATTAATTAGTTTATGCCACTTAACTAATCTAAAAGATACCATGCCTAAACCAAATTAGGGTGAACGATATAGTAATTAGCCAATACATAGTTATTGGCCAACTTGCCTAAAATAAAAAGAAACAAGCCTAATGGAAGTTATTAAGAGAGGAAAAGAGACAAATATTTTTTCTGAGCAATACACACACAGTCCAATGTAGTAAATATTTTTGTCTCTTACTTATACAATCCAATATGCCAATAGCTATGTATAGGCTAATTACTATAGCAATCACCCTAGTTTTTCCACACTAGCAATTTGTCCTGGAACCAAGTGGAAAATATTATGACAAATTATATGCTGCTATTTAACAGCTTGCAGTTTATGGTGACTATGTTATAACTATACACAAAGAGGTAAAAATATTTGTCTAAAAAAATAAAAATGTAGACCTACCTAACAGCTGATTGATCTCCAAAAACAGGAGGCAAATCTCCACCTTCCACATTGCTGCTCTCCTTAACATTATCTTTGCTGTCGACATCAATTTTTTCATCATTCTTCTTCTCATCATGGGCGTTTGACACCCAATCATCAGGCGCAAAGCTCTCATCCAATAGCTTCTTCAACAAATTTTTAGTTATTGAATTATCCACATTTCTAATTGCATATAGTAACACTTGCAGCAACGCTGACGTTAGATTCTGGTACGGTAGATCCTTAAACTGAGGCCAAGCAGACAATCGGTTGGCAAATTCTTTCACTAATTCCTTAAATTCGTCAGGTACAATTTTGTATTCCATTTTCGTCAAATGTGGAGGAATGCCTTTGTTATCTGGCAATGTTACTTTGAACATATTCGTTTTGGGTTTCTCACCAGGTAGTAGTGTAATTCCGCTGAGACATTTTAAAGCGCTGCGCAAAATGTGATTGGCATATGAGTCCCATACAAAGTCTTCTAAATTATTGAGAGCATATTTACAGATTTTAATTGTGAATTCATAGCATTTCTGTACATGTTCTTCACTGTATTCTGATTCCGGTTCCGTCTCTGTCTTTTTTTTCTTTTTGGGCACTTCTTCTTCCTCTTCTTTGACTTGCAACTTCTCTATAGCTCTTTCACACGATACTCTTAGTAACGTTTCAACGACATGACTTGAAAAGTTGTCCGAACAGAGTCTACGTAACTCTGGTGAGAGGACCTCGATGAAACGCTCCAGATCTGCAGCGGATGCGAACGGCAGCAGCAGCTCGATGACCCGGCAACCGAGCTGATTTCCAACTATATTTAGCTCTTCATCTTTAGTTCGTTCCAAAACGTTGTTCACAAGTGATTCTGAAAATTAGAGAAAATACTATCATTATTATTTTTTATGTAGTGCAAACATAGAATATGGTCAACTTAGCTTTCATTCAGACAAAGTAGCCAATTTCATAGGGTACAAAAATATACAAGCCAATGTAACCTTCATTTTGAAACTTTTGAAGACATTAAATAAATAAGTTAAATCATCAAAAATGACCTCCCAACAGCCTTCAATGACAAACTTACCTCTTTCTTCTTTGTTTTCAACGCCTTGCTTCATAGCATCGAGGATTCCCACGAAGTATTGGTACAATTCATCGGGCATGCGAGTGCCGCGACCCATTTGCCCCTTTTTCGCATATTTCTTCGCGTTTGCCAAGAAGTTTTTACGCTTAGTCCGGTTTCGCTTTTTGGGTAAACCATTTGCAGGGGTTTCTTCACTCATTTTGTAATATTTTCCTGGTTTTGAAACACAAACAATTAAAAACAGGTGGAGTTGAGAGGTTATGTTGTCATAACATAAGCTGTCAATGTCAGTGAGAGCACTGCTGTCATAACTATTTTTCTTTTTTAGCAACAGCATGCCTAGATAAACAGCCAAGCTAGCACGTGTAGTATAGCAAATGTTAACCTTTTCACCCGCAGTCTTCTATACATAAAAGACAATATCTAATCACAAATAATAATTCTTGGACAAATTAATGCTTTCTTTATTTTGTGCGTATTTTTACGATTGACGGACTTTGTTTATTTTCAAAACAGAAAGTGAGTTGGCGACTAATAGGTTAATAGCGCAATTTTCAAACAATATTCAAGCAGTATTGGTGGTATTGGCTTTACATGGATAATATCCATGTAAATAGTAAGTATATTAATGCAAAATTAGATAACCTTTTGTTAGATGGGCGAATTAATTATGATTTTGTATATTTTTCGTTTACATTACCTGCCTACCTACACGTTTGCCGAGTATTTTATTTTCTGGCAGTCGGTAAGGCTCTACTTACCATCCCGTGAATTTTTACATTATTGTTTCCAAACAGAGAACGCTAATAAGTACCTAGTCAATACAAATCAAAATCAACACGGACAAAGGCCAGTCAGTCAATAATAATAAACTAATTTGCATACAACTATTAATAATTAACAATGCTATGCATAATAATACTGACAGACAACGCGATAGCCTGTTGTAGACACAAATGTGTGTACCAAGAACTTTGTAGACGTTCTGTGAATGTAAATAGCGTCCCCCGGCGCCCATCAATGAAGCATTCTTGCTGGAATGGCCCTTCCAATAGCTCCGGGGCGAAGAAGACAAATAATGTAGTCGTCTCAGTCTTGGAACCACGGCTTTATGAGAGCGTGGAGGATTCAGTAAATCGATAGGAGGTAGTATCAAAGCCATTTTAAAACTTGGAAAAATAGACAGATGGAAAACAATATACTACATAATAATATATTTTTCTACTACTACAAATAATATTTGCAAGTTTTACAACTCCTAGGAACTATGGCCCTGCCTGTGGTAAGCTTAACGAAGCATAACGCACTACTGCGCGTGCATTTAAATCTGAATTCAAATATCTATTCTGCATTTATTAAGCCACTCTACCATGACTTTAACATCACCGCTACTCGCGTAGACCCCGGCTTTACCAACGAATGCACTCACGGGCAGTCGACCAACGAAACTAGTTTGTGTTGTCAGGCGCCGGCTTTCGGGCACGCTTGCGTTAAATCGAAGCGTGAACTTTCGATGTCGTGAATAAAAACTGTTTTAAACTCTGATAAAAAACTTTTTGGTGAATTAACAGTGTCTCTTTCTTAGCAGAAAAAAAAAGAAAGTGGTGTTTACTTTTTAAGTTTCGAATTTCGAACACTGAATTCGAAGAATATAATTGAACCTCGATTCTCGATTATTTTTTATTTTTATTGTGAACTTTTTGCACGCGAACTTTATGGTTTGCGGGAAAAGGTATTTTACAGTGTCGTCAGAGTTATAACAGTCGTTTAAGGTGAGATTTAATTATTATGGTGAGAGTTGAACTGTCGTGAAGCTGTGCGGCGAGTCGGGAAATGCTTGGGAAGGCGTTGACCGAATAAAGCGCGGTGACACTGTATTAATTATTTTCTTTCTTGTATAGTTTTTGGGGACAATACTGTAGTTCATCACGTTTCTTTAAAAAGTTTGAAAGTTAGTTAAAAATATGTTGTTATTAAAGTTTTTCTAATTACCTACTAAGTACTTTTATATTAAACAAATTAATTGCGAAAGTTTGTATGGATGTCTGGATGTTTGTTACTCTTTCACGCAAAAACTACTGAATGGATTTTGATGAAACTTCACAGTACTATTGTGTAACCCAGATTAACGTAATTAGGCTATAATTTATGACGATCTGTGACAAACTAAATTTCACGCGGGTGAAGCCGCGGGCAAAAGCTAGTAACTACATAAAGATCTAACTAAAAACATTTATTGTTAAACATTAGGTAGAATAAAAGTAGGTACCCACAGACCTGACAATAAAGGTTTTAATTACGATGTTTTAAGTTCGATTCCCAGTGGAGCACAATAAATAGCTAACTACTTCCATATTGTCTGTCGTTCGTTATTTTTACGTCTTCTCGGCGATTATTCGTAATTACAGTAATTTGAGCCACGATCTTTCAATTAAAACCCCAATTTAGGAACTCTTAACTACCTATTTTAAACCTTATTTCGTAAACCTTACGAATTAATCTAGAAGAAACCAGGAAATTGGGACTCAGGTACACTGTAAGTAAACTGTTTTAAACTAAGTTTGCTCTATAATTTACCCATAGGTGTAATATGTAAAGTCCCTTTAAAAATCTAAAGGACAAGCAAAACATTTCGAAAATCGCATTAAATAATGTCATCACGTAGTCGCACAGTCATATTAGAAAATAAGAAGTGAACTAACTTAATAACGTATGTAGAAAGAGAGAAAAGTTAGAAAAGACAAGTTAACAAATTGTTTTAAATTAAATTAGGTTTAGGCGCAAAACAAAAGTTATCTAATAAACTTTTACCTACTTCTTTTCTTTATCAGTCATGTTTGTATAGCGATAACCCATATTTCTATCTCTAATCAGTGTAACACAATTTCTTAATCTACAAAGTGTATTTTCCTCAGATCATAACAAGCCCATTAAATTATTTTTAGCCCAATAATATTATCTATAAACTTCATTTTTTTCTGATCGAAGACCCTTTTGTCTTAAAAACAATATTATATTTATTTAGATTATGTTTTTATCTGTAATGTGTTTTCCGACAAATGATGAAATTTTATTATTATTAAAAGATAAAATAGTATTATTATTGTATTATTTATATCAAGACATTTAAAATTCCTGATCGATTTATCTTGGCCTTCGGAGATCAATGCCCCGCATTATTATTTTTATTGGTATCGCCGTGTAACAGGCAGTTTGTGCACGATAAAAAATCTAGCCACGCTACTTTGTGACCATAGCGTTTCTTTTTTCCGAAAAAAATAAAAAAAAGTTTGACATTTCGTTATGGCGCGAAACGAAAAAAGTCGGGCGACTTTACTTAATGTTTTATTTTTCTGACAAAATAAATTATGTCGTACTTTTCATTTGTTTTTGTTCAAGCACATGTTAACGTGGATTTAGCAATGTCATAATTTCCATGACTACTTCTTGGCATACCATAATCTTCGTTTAAAAGATCTTTGTTTCGAAATGCCACAGGTGAATCAATCCAGCAAAAAGTGTTGTTAGACCTATCTTACTCATATTATCAAACATCTAGGCCACCTGAGCCCCGTGCACGCGCCTACACCATGACGTCACGCGCTCAGAAGCGGGAAACCTGTTTCCAAAACTCCTGTCCCTGATTTCTCGGAATCCATTCTTCCAAGTAGGCACATAAAACCTGGCGCTGTAGCTTACTGACGCGATGAATAGTCTTGAGCACATTGGTTTCGGGGTTTGATTCCTGATAGGGTCACTTAGGAAGTGATATTTTTTACATTGAGTGAGAAAAATGTTGACACTTATTATGTAGGAAGATTAGGAATACTTAATTCTTTCGATATTATTGCTTTTGCTGGGAACGCGCCCACACTAAACTATAATATGCAGCTTTGTCTTGGTTCGAACATCGAACCCGCGACCGCTATTAGCGTGTCTAGTTCTCAACCACTACGCCAGTCCGTCGTAAAGTATGCCTTGTGTGAGACCGCAGGACTTTTGGAATGGCCGCCGCGGATAATCCATTGCGACACGACACATGTCAAATTAATTAGGTCGTTGTAATTACACTCGATTATACCTAGGATTTAGGCGACACTGTCTCTCTCGCACTTGGCATTAGTTGAAGGTGCGTGAAAGAGTCCGATAGAGTCCTGCTATAGCGGATGGGGCCCTCTGACTGAATCATCCGATTCTTGTGGTCAGACAATCCTATTGTCAGACTATTGAAGATCCACGGTCATCTTCACGAATACAATAACAGATGCGCCTATAGAAAACTTAATATTGTGTAAAGCGGTCACAGAATTGAATCTATCACAATTTTTTTTTTAGAACTTTGTCTACGGAGGCACAAAGTTAGGTACCTAATATTCGTGACAAATTTTCACTTTATTTAGATTGTTTGGATCTAACAGGTCTTGGCAGAGCGAAAGATCTTGGCGCCAGACGGCAAAACAATCGGCAGTCCGATATCGACAGCATTGATCTATTGTCGCCTCTAAATGATTCCTCTTCCAGATGATCTGTGTAATTTGAATGTTTCCGGAAAAGAAATCCCTGGTTAGGGCATAAGTAGTCTTGGAATCGATCCTAGGGAGAGACAGTAGGTTCGTTCGTACGTTTCAGCCAAATGACATCCAGTGCTGGACAAGGGCCTCCCCCAAGGTTTTCCACAATGAACGGGTGAGACATAGGTAATATGCCTTATTTGACTTCAATAATTGCTTCCTAAACCATCAGGAATTATTTACGTCATGTAATGTAACGACTATTATTGTTCAGCTTGAGATTCATCTCAATGTCAAGTTGAAGAACTTCAAAACAGATGTAAATGAAGATAATGTAGCTCACAAAGTGCTAAGATTATGCTAATGTTCCCTCTTAGCCTGGCACTTAGCTCAATTAGCTGTAATTAACGCTTTTGAGCTTTTAAGATGTGTATTATGACTAGAGTTAAGGATACTACAGTATTTTACAAACTGTAAGTAATCATGCAGCAAAGGATTCATTTGTTTTAGAAATTATAATGACCGTAGTTCTTAAAATGTAAAGGCTCTGACACAATAATTAAAGCGCTCCAAAAGTAACGGCTATAAAAATCTGTCGGGACAATCCATCTCCATGCTCAGTGAATGAATCCTGAGCTGGTAAGTAAGAAACATGCTTAATTAAGTATATTAGTTAATATCCAATAAACAATGTTATCAGTAAAGCCAAGTACCTAAGACCTGGATGAACTTTACGCTTCTTTGGATCCGTAACGAAATTAACACAGTCATTAGGAAAAGTTGGAAGGTGAGGTAAAGTTTTACATTCCTTTGCATTAACTTTGTGCAAAAGAGCTAACAAAAACAAAAGACCAACAATAAAGTGAGGACGTGGTACGTTCAAAATCACATCACGAAACAGGTACGAAACGGTGCCAAGTCGGTATGTTTACATCTTGTACAGTGCCTTAGATACTTCAATGTTGTTTATGTTTACATGCTCTTGTTTAATATCAGAAACAGACAAAGTTTTCCACGTGTAAACGGAATGGATTGCATCCGAAATACATTCTAAGAGATTTCAAAAAGGCTGGAAAAAGAGAAATCTGTATGTTATCAAATAACATACAATACACAATACATACATTATTAGTAGACTCTCTGAGTACTGAACTGGAATGAGGAACCTCATTCTTGATAAGTTTTACAGCATTAATGAAGAACTTACTAAGGTTGTTTTACTTGATAGAGCAATATTAGGCTGTTGAATATTTGCTCACAACTCAATTAAATTACATAAACGTACTTATACTCAAATTAAAGTTTCAATATGATGTGTTACAATACTTATATGACTTTGGAATAGTTATAAATAGTTGAAGGCATTGAAGGATTTACTACATAGTTTTGCTATGCACCAAACTCTACACGGGTAGATTCGCTGGCAATAGACTTTCAGGCGTTGGCTTGACGACGGAGGATTGCTGTTCAAGTGCACTCCATCAAAGACTGAGCCTACCGAACGTTTTCCTATTATGTATGTTTATTTAATGTTATATTAAGATGCCGATACAATATCGCGTATCGCTTACAATGGCTGGTTATTAAGACGTGGCCGGTGGAGCGTGCGCCGGCAATGGGGCATGACTTCGATCAGGGGCGACGACCTGTGGGCAGCTTGTTAGATTATATTATCAATCAATATTTAACAACATTAATGTAAATCTGTGAGTTTGTACTAGGAACATGATTTAGAAAATTCTTTCACTAGTAGTATGCTACATAAATTTTTGTAACAGATCGATCAAAACAAGCGAAGCCGCGGGCGAAGCTAGCCGTAGACATATTAAGATTCTCTATTTTTTCGTCTTGTTAATAGATACTACAACGATCTACTATTTAAAACAGCAAAAAAGGCGAGTTGTTTGAGATAAACTGCAGCTTAAAGAGGGGATTATGCGACAACCAGAATAGATAAGGTAAGTGCCCCCTACTTCGGTATATTAAGGCTCTTACGACTTTAACAATTTATTTAAAAATAACCAAGGATGATATCAGTATGAAAGCTTTTGTATGCTAAAGTTTGGTCTTTTGACAGTAACATAATACATAAATTATAGTTATATTGTTTAAACTTTTTTTAATATTAATTGTTCTGCGGACCTCTTGCTTGGATCCTGTTTCGTGATAAAATTTTGCTCTGTTTCTAAGTTCGTGAACTCATGTCCCCTATTTCGGGATAAAGTTTTACGCATCGAGTTAGGATATTATAATAATGATTAAGGGTTTAATCAATTTAAAAACGATAGTATAAATTTAGAATAAAAGAATACTGTTAAATTGACGATATTACTTGCCTGAAATATTCATGAGAAATAATGTGAGTCTGTCTATCTAGGAGGTACGTACCTTCGTATAAAGTTTTGATTTATTGTTCTCACAATATGTGAAAATATTTATATAACCATCAGAAATGTAGGGGGGCCTTACCCCCCCCCCCCCCCGTTTTTGGCTCTCTGAGAGTTTGAAGCTTCGTATTGCTCTTATTTTTGGCGCCACAATGTTGGTACTTGGTTTTTTAGATAGCTTAAATAATAGAGTTTTTGTAGTAATAAAGAATTTTTATAAATAATATTCCATTTGCTTATTATTTGAGCTAGAAAAAAAACTTACGAACTTACGTACTATCACGAACTAGTAGCCGTTTACCTTATTTCAATATTCTAATTTTAGCGAAGTTAAAACTTACAATTAGGAGAATAAGAACGAAACGAAGATATTAAGAAAGGAACTCAAGGAATTACTAATGTTAATTTTGTTATAATATCAGAAGGTTGCGTGTTCAAATCACGTCGGGGTCACCAATGTAGGTTTTTATCGTAACCTATTTTATAAACTCGTGTAAGTGTACCTATTTAGTGTCTGTATAAGAATGTTAATTTATCTGACTCAAAGTTAACTCAAGTTGGTAAAGTGTGAGGATCCTAGCTATCCTGGGAGTTACTGCCACTGACCTTCAATGAAATACGAATATACTGACCAATAGAAACGCAATTTTATTTCCTTAAATTTCCCAAAGCTAACACGTTTGCCCGAGCCGGTCAGTGCGCAGTAACTGGCCGACTCTTTGATTCACACGTCACACAAGCATTCAAAATCGCTGACCTGCTGAGATCGAGAAACCCTTTAAAATAGTAATTAGATAGTAGGTAGATACGTTTAGATTTTATGCTAATGCTATTAACATTTAACTCATTTCCTAGTCCTCAGAACCACAATCAGAACGCTTCACAATCGCGTTATCGTGGAAAAGGCACGTTTCCCACGTTTTCACGACTCATTGTGCCTCACATGAAAGCAAACGTATCAGAGTCATCTTCAATAGTCCGACACTTTGATTAAGTAACCAGATACCTACTTCATCATCTTCATCATCATTTTAGCCACAGGGACATCCACTGCTGAACGTAGGCCTCCCCCAAATACTTCCACATAGCACGGTTGGTAGCGGCCTGCATCCAGCGCTTTCTTGCTACCTTTATCAGGTCGTCGGTCCACCTTGTGGGTGGACGTCCCACGCTGCATTTTCCGGTACGTGGCCTCCACTCCAGAACCTTGCGTGTGTGTGTGCCCTGCCCATTGCCACTTCAGCTTGCTAATCCGTCGGGCTATGTCAGTGACTTTAGTTCGTTTACGGATCTCCTCATTTCTGATTTGTAATCGTAAAGAAACACCCTTGGACCTCAATTCATCACTTCTACTGGATGGATTTTTATTGGCGGTCATTACAGATCCTGGTTACACAAGAGTTAGAGGAGTTGCTCTCCTTTCTCCCCCTTTTTTTCTCGTCTGGAAATGCTTACGTATACCCATATTACCCATTGGCCGATGGAGCTGTCAGCGGGCTTTACTCGTATGTGGGGCTCTCCCGGTCAGAAGAGCAGGACCTACCCGCTAAAACTCCACGGTGTGACGGTGTCTTCCAGGGCCGCGAATTGACTTAAAATTGGAGATTCGTCCGCGGCTCCCCTTTCTTCCCCTAGGTTTATGCATGGAAAGACAACAGACAAACAGTCTTCCTTTCTCATTTAACATATTGCTTATCAGCTATTGTTTTCAGGAGCGAGATGCGCGAGAGTCTGCGTCGGCTCGCGTCGGACGAGCTCGTGGCGCGCAGCATCATGGGCGGCAAGCGGCGCGTGCGCGTCGAGCTGTTGGACGGAGAGCACATCAACGTTGACATCGACGTGAGTACACCAGACGAACAGCACATCAAGCTGTACATCATCTCAACAGTCATCTTTATGTAATTTAAATAGGAACTATTTAATGTGATATGCTGTCGACTGCACTTTGGGTTTAGTGTATTAAGGGCGAGCACATCAACAATAAAATCTACTTTGGTTTCGACGCAACATAATGTCCTTCAAAAATGTGGTTACGCTCGCGATTATGGAAAATTCGGGACTGTTAATCAAATAATTGGTGTTAATTACTCTATTTGAATAAAAGAACATGAATTAAATTCTCTATTTGATAATAGGAAGACTGAGTTCATTTAAATAAATAATTATGGTCCCCAACGAGTGAAAATTGAACTTTTCAACAATTTCTTAAAATATACCGAAAACACCGTGGGCCGCCTCTTTCTGGAAGAGCTGCTTACTGTTTCGCAATACATTGTTTACAATGTACCGAGATGGGTGTATCACAGGATTCACAGGCACTTGATAAGTACCAGCTGCTGTTCTATTTGCAGAGAGTGTAAATCACTCAGATTTGATGGGCTGTAGGCAGATTATGGACTCATAAATTGTAGTAGGTCCGACGTCACACATAACTTTATGCCTACCTACTTTGAATGTGAGAATATTTATGAAAACAGCAGACCTTGAACCCATAAATACCCATACCCTTGATGCTGATGGCTGTTAGGGCATAAAAGTTCTCCATGGAACGGAAGACGTAGTGAAGGCATGCTTCCTAGTCGCGGGAACATGTATGCCAGCAGCGCTGGACCGGTCGTTGTGTTGTATGTTTTTCATAAGTGTGTGTCAATAAAGTTTCTGTCTAACAATAAAACATTTGTCACACTGGGATGTGTTAAATACGGTCTGCAGTCAGTTCAAATAAACGCAGCCCGCACCCTTCAGTTTGCGTTCTTTGCTCGTCCCCGCACTGTCAGATCGCATCAATACAAAATGTATAGAGCCCGAGAATGTTGTACATGATGCTTGCTGCGTTCACTTCGGCCTGACAGCAGACCGCATCCAGCATGAAAAATCTTTTATGCTCTCTATATTTCTTAGAAAGATTAAGTATTTCAAACTGATCTCTATTCCTTCCAGCGCAAGGCCCGCGGCTCCGAACTCCTGGACCGCGTGTGCGAGGACCTGGACGTGCGGGAGCGAGACTACTTCGGGCTGCTGCATCAGCAGCGCGCCGACCCTCGCGTGTGGGTCGACCTCAACCGCCGCCTGTCCAAGACCTTCAGAAGTAAGCCCTGCTTCTGGTCATCGCTCTTTGTAGAGCAAGTCTTAGAACAGCTGGACCGCGTATGCGAGGACCTGAATCTGTAGGAGGAAGACTAAGGGTAGACCTCAACCGCCGCCTGTCCAAGACCTTCAGAAGTAAGCCCTGCTGTTGCTCTTCTTCTTAATTGAAAGCGCTTTGCTCCTGTTCTTGTTCAATCATGAGGTAGCACAAGGCTTGGAGCTGCTGGAGTGACAGTACTTCGGGCTGCTACACCAGCAGCGTGCCGACCCTCTCGTGTGGGTCGACCTTAACCGCCGCCTGTCCAAGACCTTCAGAAGTAAGCCCTTTGCTGCAGCTCTTCTTCTTGATAGAGCGAGGTCTAAGGCTTGGAACTGCAGGAGCAACAAGCTGTGTACAAGGACTTGAACGCGCAAGAGTGGGATTTGCTGAACCAGCAGTGCGTTGACATGAAGCGTCGTCTGTCCAAGACCTTCAGAAGTAAGCTCTGCTGCTGTACTTCTTCTTGGTAACACTAGTCTGAGGCTCCGAGCTCCTGGATCACGTGTGCAAAGACCTAAACGTGAGGGAAAGGGATGGGTCGACATGAACCGCTGCCTGTCCAAAAATCTGCAGCTACACATCATCTGCATCATGTCGTAATAGCGTAATGTTACAACCACATTATCTACCAGGTTAACGCCGCATTTCTCACCACAGCGTTATTTTAATGAACTATTCCTATTTTACAGATGAACCATGGGACGTGATTCTAGCAGTGAAGTTCTACCCTCCTGAGCCCTCAGAATTAAGAGATGACGTCACTAGGTATCAAATCAGCTTGGCTGTCAGAAGAGATCTCTTGGAAGGTGAGTGAGTAGCATAACTAAAGTCCAGTACCACCACTAGCATGAACAACTTTCGTCTTCGAATCGTTTGCGTATTCGATAAAATTCGATACTCAATCTTCGAATTAAACGATAACGTGACAATTTTCATTATCAAAATAAGTTTCGCTCAACCACATCTCATTCACTTTACGACACGTTCACAAGGGCGCTGTTGTAATTATCTTACTAAATCTTTTGATGACGATTCGAGTACGCAAACGATTTGAATTCGAAAGTTTTTCGTGCTAGCCGTACAGGTACCTATTACTTGTAAAAAATTCGCCTTAAAAACATGGTCTTTAAAAGGCATGTCGAACATTTGATATGGGCCAATTTCAATGCTTATTTTTTTCTGGGACATCTTGGCTGTTGCAAAATACGATAAAGAAGTGCCTGCCTTACTATTGTCATGAAGGAATAGGTAAATTATAAAGTTGTAAGCTGCTGTAGTAATGAAACCTCTTAGGGCAGTGATGGGGCTTCTATAGTAATGGTCAGATGAATGACACCTTTGCCTAAAATATTCCAGGCCGCCTCACCTGCTCTACCATCACGTATGCGCTGCTAGCCTCCTACGTCCTGCAAGCCGAATTGGGTGACTCCTCCGGCGACATTGCACCCTCCGCCCTCACAGAACTGCGAGCCGCACCGTTGCACGCACTCACGCCTGACCTGGAGGAAAGAGTACGGGAACTATACTCCAAGCACAAGTGAGTGCCTTTCCTGCTCTATCATCAAGACAGGCTGGATGATTGCTGGCGCCCTTCGTTGGATGAGATGAAGCGCGAGCTGTTGTCCAAGCACATATGAGTAGGTACCTACCTCTCCTGCTCGCGTCCTACTTTCTCCAGGCGGAGCTAGGTGACTGCTCCGGGGTCCTAACGCCGTCTCCTCACGGAGCTCCAAGCTCCGCTGCATGCCCTCACGCTCGCCCAGGAGGAGAGGGCGAGATGTAGAATGACACGAACGGCAACTTTATGCGCTCAATATCGAGCACTACGCTCAAAATTCAAACACGCTAAAAGGGGTGTTTTCACAGCCGCTTAATACATTGTGCCTAACTAGAAACCATTACAATGCCTTCTGCGACAGTCCTATACGGCGGAACAACGAGATTAGCAGAGACTATAGCGCCAATCCCGATGTGGTTGCGACTTGTAGTTAGATAATCAACCCTCATAACCTTTATGTTACGTGTTTTCTTCAGAGGTCAAACCCCAGCGGAAGCGGAGCTGAACTACCTGGAGAACGCCAAGAAGCTGTCTCTGTACGGCGCCGAGCTGCACTGTGCGCGAGACCTGGACGCTGTGGACATCGTGCTGGCCGTCTGCGCTAGCGGCGTCTCCGTCTACCGCGACGGGTGAGACAAGGACGACAAGTTTCTTAAAGTTACAGTAGACCTAACTTTCTAATAAGCACTCCAACAGTCATCAATACATTATGCACTTTATTTCAATCAATTTTTCACATTGTGCTGGCCATCTAGTCTGCGCTAGTGGCGTCTCCGTCTACCGCGACGGATGAAACAAGGTTGGCAGTTAGTTAAAGTTTCAATAAGCCTTGGGGTGTAACTCTTTGATAAATACTCCGAAAGTACGTAGGTATTATAGTTGAACTCGACGTCATCGACTCCGTATTCTTAGCTCATTCTAGTAAGAGGGACTTGTAGAGCTGAATGAACGCAGAACACATTTTAATTGTGTCTAGTACCACAGCTTGTACCTAGTACCCAAAACACCGTTCTATAAAATTGACGAACTGTTTGGAATTTAATTATTATTGACACTGTTACCCACTATTTATTTTGACATTTAATTGACATTAATTCTATTTGTATTATTAATTTATTTGGACATGATGTGTATTTCTTTCTTATTAATATTGCAATTGTTTATTATTAATAAGAAAATATATTGAAAATTTGACATGTAATGAACATTATGAATAAAGGACAATGTTCGTTCTCCATACATTGTTCGCCTAAGAACCAACAATTTTGACATATTACTAACCGAAAGCGAAATAATACGATTCTGTGTGTAAGAACAATGATTCCTGATGGACACTTGCCATAAAATTAATGATTAAGAATATTAAATCACAGCAATTTTATAATATGTCGTTTATGACAACATGGCGTCTAATGTATTGTGTGAATGTATGAACACCGATTCGCGAAAAATGTTTTGTATTGTCGTCACGCCGAGTCGCAGCCAAATAGTATAAAATAATAGAACAAGTTTTAGAAATACAACTCGGCATTCCACTTTTATAATATGCCCACATATTGCACGTAAATAAACAACATGAATCGTAGGTTGTTTCCACCCTTGTACTCTGACACATAAAATAAACTCCTATTGTATTATAGATATCGAAGCCGAATCGTATATAATAATAGAATGGGTTTTGGAGATCACTCGGGGTTCCACTTTTATAAAATACCTACATATTGCATAAAAATAACACGAATCATGAGTTTTCATGTTTCTCACACTTCAACTGGCATTGGATTCAACATCGGATTCTGACACTTTTACAGTTATGATACCATGAATATCAGTTTATGGTCCTAATTATTTTTATTTTATTTACGACCTTCGACCAGTTGGACACTTTAGATAGCTTCTTGTAATAGTGTCAATATCTTTTTAGCTTTTAACGCAAATCTAGTCTTCAAAGCAGTTTAATCGATTTATTTTATTTTCAAAATCGATATTTTATTGTCTATGATGGCCGCAGGAACATCACTATACATGGACTCCCAGCAATAAAGTACGGTAATGCCTCGTACAGATTTTATCGGCAAAAATTATGGAACTTGATAGGTTTTAGACCATGCCACGCACCAAAACGTCCGGAAGTTGTAATAGTATTATAGAATAAACGTTGAAAGACTTATTTATTTAATTTTTCAATGCTGAAGTGTCCATTAGAATGAAAGGGTGCTTAATGTATTAAAAAAAATAGAAAATAATTATGATGGGTTAATGTTTTTGGGCGGTTTTTTAGGCGGTTTCTGACAATGTCCTTTCTTATTCTTATTCTTATTCTTATTCACCCTATACTTTTAGCGGAAAAGTTTTTTTTGTGGCTTCTACTTCTAACTAAAATGAGTTTCCATGAATTCTGGAATACGAGATTTGCAGGTCAGAGTCTGAGGGCCCCTTTGGATTTAGGGAGGCTGGTGCACGATATCGCATCTATCTGATAGCTACACCAGTGTGCCTACACACTGGTGTGCTGATATCCGTAATTTTTTCTTCTCAGAGTCCTAATGAACCGCTTTCCCTGGGCCAAGATCACGAAGATCTGCTACAACAAGCGCAACTTCACGCTCAAACTGCGTCCCAGCGAGTTCGATGACTTCGAGACAGCGCTGTCTTTCAAACTACCCTCCACGAGGGCTTGCAAGAAGCTGTGGAGGTGTAGTGTGGAACACCACATCTTCTTCAGGTTGGTATAGAGCATTGGAGGGAACTCGAACCTTAACTTCGAACTCCTACGTTCTTCTGATTAATTTCGATGCGGGTCCAAGGGCAGTTTAACTTTCCCCTGGGACAAAATTGACCTTCGCTGGTTGGGTTTTTATTAGCGGTCAAGCTGTAGATCCTGGCTACACAGGAGTTGCAGCGGTGGGAACGAGAGGTCGTATGGAGCAACGAAAATTTGTGTATCAAGCTGCGTCCCAGCAAGTTCGACTTCGAGACGATACTGTATTTTAAACTGTCCTCCACGAGAGCCTGCAAGAAGATATGGAGGTATAGCGTGGAACACCACATCTTCTTCAGGTCTCATCCAACTCATTGTGAGACCTAACCAGTACCTCTATCCATCTTCTGTACCTACCACATTTAAAGCAAATAAATGATGATTTTGATTCTGATTCTCATCCAACCTCTCTTTCCTGTCACTGTAACTCTTAAACCAAGGATCAACAGTTTGGCGTCTAATAAACAACCAATGAGGGCTATCGTTTTAGCACTCACCAGTTAACGCCACTGTAGAGTAAGGTCCTGTCACTTGCTAGTAGCGAAGACAGTGGTACCAACTGGTGAGCGCTAAAGTGGTAGGAGGACTATCGCATTTGCACTCATCAAGATGGCGCCACTGTAGAGTAAGGTCCTGTCAATCGCCAGGGGTGCCAACTGTTAAGTATAAAAACGACTAGCTTTCCGCCCGCGGCTTCGCCCGCGTGGAATTTTGTCTGTCACAGAAAAACTTTATCGCGCGCGTCCCTGTTTCAAAAACCGGGATAAAAACTATCCTATGTTCTTTCCCGGGACTCAAACTATCTCTATGCCAAATTTCATCAAAATCGGTTGCGAGGTTTAAGCGGGAAAGCGTAACAGACAGACAGACAGACAGACAGACAGACAGACAGACAGACAGACAGACAGACAGACAGAGTTACTTTCGCATTTATAATATTAGTTGGGATAGCCTAATTGATGATGGTTGAACATGTAGTTAGTCCCGGCAGACGACTTAATGTTAGTGACTTACAAACTGGTCGAGTTAACCTGGAAGCCGTGACGTCACGTCGAAACTCTGGTACGGACGAGGCGAACGGGGACGGGGTGTGCGGATGAGTGAGGGAGAGTCCCATTCCAGCGAGATGCGCAGTTAGCTTGATCGGGTTGTAAAATTATAATTACCTCCATTGCAACATGGAGAGCAAAGCGGGAGACAGATGACTGAAAAGGTAGTAAAAGGTATAGTCTGGTCTGTGAGCACGTAGAATTTTGTCCAATGACCCCAAGCTACCCATCCTTATAATTACGCAATATAATTACGCGCGAGCGATAGATAAGGATGGGTAGCTTGGGGTCATTGGACAAAATTCTACGTGCTCACAGACCGGGCTTTAGCCTTATGGTGCGTCTAGACTGGGCGAACGGGCTCGCACGGCAAACTTGACATCCTGCTCACTCAAGAGTAGGGTGAGCAGGATGACTTGAGTGAGCAGGATGACCAGCGTGCCGCGGAGCCCGTTCACCCAGTGTGGACGCACCATTATAAGAATGGTTGTTAACCTCGTACCTTTTGGTTCCCAGACGCGAGTCCCCAGTAAAGGTGGAGCGCATAGCCGGCTTCCCACGCCTGGGCTCACGCCGCGTGTCGTGTCGCCGCACGCTACGCCAGATGCGCGCCGAGCCGCCGCCGCCGAGGGCCGTCATCGCCTGACAGTTGACACTGACAGCTCACTGACACTGACAGTCACAGCTCGCGCGCGCAGAGGAATGGCCGATTGCATTTTGGCCATTAGAAACTGCAGAAAACAAAAAAAAATGTGTTGTTGGAACTGTGAAATCGAATTGCAAAAGTATTATTTTTGTACTCTTGTATTTTTCTCTGTAGTAGTTATACTTTACAGCTGGCGCACTTTTTTAGTCTTATAAAAAGTTTTTTGTATTCTATATTTTTGCGATAATTAAAGTATCATAAAATAAATAATGTCATGTTTAGAAATTTCAATTCCGCATTTAAGTTAATGCAAAAGAAGTGTTATTTTATAAGGATAGTAAAATTACGACACGACAACTTTGGCGCTAAAAAGACTGTTGTATTTCATACTTAGTAAACGATCGCGAAGTGCCATTATAATGTTATAAATTAATATTAAGTTATTGGCATAAGTAACTCAAATCGATTGCCCCAAGTGGGACTAGAACCACAGAAATGTATGTATACAGCCCGATTGAGCTAACTGCGCTGCAATCCCTTGCACACCTCTCCTTCTACGAAAAAAGCAATCCGAAGTTCGTATATTTCCATCCCTCTCACACAAAGCGAGGTGCCAACATGAGTAACAGTGACAAATATCCGAAACTACGTAAACGGCGTTTCGGAGTAGCCCCGAAAGTATAGATGACCCACGCTGAACTGTCCCACCAAACTCAATGACAGGGGGGCGCTACCATCGTTCAACTATATGGTTTCCAACATGGCAAAAATCGGAACCAACTATTCGGTATTGACGGTGGCGCCCCGCTGTCAATGTCATCGATAGGACAGTTCAGTATTTTGGAACTATAGCGTCGATGTCACGTCACGGCTGTCAGGTGCGCAGTTTACTGGATCGGCTCGTAGAACCTCTTATGACCTTGCTTGCAGGTTGCAACTGAAAGGTCGTTTAATTTAGAAAATTAAATAACATCTACTTCGTAGAACTAATTCTGAATTGCGGAACATTTTTTATTTAAAGGCAATGTGACCTTATTATATAGCTAAATTAGAATTCACAGAATATGTTATTTTAAGAACAATTATTTGAAGGAGGGAAATCCTAAATATCTTCTTATTCCGACGAACTGGTGAAGGTCAGGAAGGCAGTGCAGGACCGGTCGTGGTAGAAATCCTTAGGGGATACCTTTAACCAGCTATGGATGCCTTTTGGCTGAAAATAACGAAGACCCCTTCTGTTCTGGTAAATAAACATTACTTCATTAAAAATCAATTTATATGTTAATTTAGTTTAACCTTTTTAGAAAATAATGTTATTCATAAGAAAATATTACGTGTATCACAGCAATAATACTTTAGAATTGTGACTCAAAGAGTAACGCTTATTTTTATTAAATAAAGTTAGTTAATACGACGAAAGTCACACTTATATTAAGGTACTAGCTGTGCCCGCGACTTCGTCCGCGTGGACTAATGACTTTGGGTAGGCACTTTTAATAATTTAGTCTAATTATTTTACAAAGGCCTATGTTCAGCAGTGGACGTCCTATGGCTGAAATGATGATGATGATGATGATGATTTTACAAATAGCTTTTGCCCGCGACTTTGTCCGTGTAGAAGTCGAAAAAGTTCTCATAGGATTTTTAAATGGTTTTTAACGTTATTATCTAAGTGTTTGAATACTATTTGATCGTTTAAACACAGTGAATGATTCAATTACATAAATTTTTAATGATACTTTTCACGGCTTCGCTCTCATGAATGTTAACGACCGTCAAAAGCACGTCGATAGATGGCGGTCACTAATTTAGACTTTGATTTGCTCGTTTAAACACAGTGAATTATTCAATTACATAAAATATCTATATTGACTAAATTTTAAATATTATGAACAGTTCTATAAATGTAATATTTAGTTCCTAATTAGGACTAATGATACGTTTCACGGCTTCGCTCTCATGAATGTTTACGACCGTCAAAAGCACGTCGATAGATGGCGTTTTTAAAGATATTTCTCACCTCTTAACTATTTATTGAAATTTAGTTTGTCACATATCGTCATAAATTGTAGCCTATATGTTAGCCTGGGTTATAAATAATAATACTGTAAAGTTTCAACAAAATCCGTTTATTAGTTTTTGCGTGAAAGAGGAACAAACATCCAGACATCCAGACAAAAAGGTTACAGTGAGCCAACCATAAAAGATAGACATATGCTGTAGCGGACTTTTTTGTAGAACTTTTAAAGGGGAAAATCCTATCATACATAATTTATGCGAAACTTTAACCGTTTACGCAGCGTCAGCTCTCAAAAGGAAAAAAATCACTGATTTGAAACATTCTTCATTGGTGCTCCGCTCCTAGTGGTCTTAGCGTGATGATATATAGCCTAAAGCCTTCAGGGATTAACGGACTATCCAACACAAAAAGAATTTTTCAAATTGGTCCAGTAGTTCCTGAGATTAGCGCGTTCAACCAAATAAACAAACTGTGATTAATAAATTGCGCCACTACAAACCGTACCAACAGATGGCGCTGTTACGATCTTACTATGGCAAACTCCACCGCGCATACAATCCTGCATCGCGGTGACGAAGTTTTTTACCCTGCCCAGTATATATAGACAAACCAAGATTGTGTAAAGTAGCTTCCTTATGGTGGTTGAGCGTCATGTTCCACAACTTCAGCTTTATAATATTAGTATAGATTCTTTGTTTTACCCCAAACTTCGACTTGTGAGTAAAAGTAAATTAAATATGTTTGTATTTCACAAAGTGTCTTATTGAAAAACCCATCCTGATTTAAGTTATGGCCAATGCCATATCTAAGAAACTTATACCTATTACCTACTATTGCAAAATTATCTTAATACCTATCCAGGTGTTAACACCTGTCCTATGATTATGTCAGATCAAATCAAAAATATTAAATCATTACCCATGGTCAAAGGTCAACCATTAAGTCTATCATCCCTTAAGTTGGGACACCCTGTATAATATTGCATTGTCATCAAGTCGCATACTGCATGTATTGTACACCTAACAAATAGACTGCAAGTTTAAAATCTGTCTGTTGCCATTTTTTGTAAAGAAAAACTAATGAAATTAATTAGGCTGACAAAGAACTCGGTTAAAAATAAAAAGCATTAAGTAGGTACTACTGGTACTACTTAAGATTTTTGCTAACTTATCCACCAGTTAGATACTATCAAAAATTATAAAACACATGTTTTACACAGCCGCAGAATCACGTGAATTTGAAAGAACAAACACCTAAAGTACCTATTTACAACCCAGAGTTGGACAAAATGTAATTAGTTAAAAATTAACAATTACATTACAAAATGTAATTGGCGAGTTCAATTATTATAAATTACTTGAAATTGATAAAAAGTAATTGAATTACAATTACAAATTTTATTGTAATTGTAATTGGTAATTGAAATTACTCAATTACCTTTTCATTTAAGTTATGGTAGTAATATAAATAAAACGATGAGGTAAAGAAGATAATTCAAATATTTAATCCAGAAAAAAAATTACACAAGAACTATTTCAAATTTTATTTTTATTAATCTAAGATTTTAAAACGAATTATTTTGTAAAAAAAAATAAAACCGACTCCAAAAAACCTACACTAAAACGTAGAAAAATAATTACTAATTACCTACTTATTTATTAGGACGAATTATTAATATTTATGTAGGTATACCATGATTGATACTTCTGGAGTCGGTGCCAAGATTATGAAACATGTAAAGTTTGCATGCACCGACTCCAAAAGTATCAATCATGGTATACCTACATAAATATTAATAATTCGTCCTAATAAATAAGTAGGTAATTAGTAATTATTTTTCTACGTTTTAGTGTAGGTTTTTTGGAGTCGGTTTTATTTTTTTATANTACATAGCAAACACGTCACGTAATACAAAGCACACTCCCATGCCGCTCCTATACCTCAGGGACTGACTAAGTTATGTAGTACTAGCTTTCCGCCCGCGGCTTCGCCCGCGTGGAATTTTGTCTGTCACAAAAAAAATTTATCGCGCGCGTCCTTGTTTCAAAAACCGGGATAAAAACTATCTTATGTCCTTTCCCGGGACTCAAACTATCTCTATGCCAAATTTCATCAAAATCGGTTCAGTGGTTTAGGCGTGAAAGAGAGACAGACAGACAGACAGACAGACAGACAGACAGAGTTACTTTCGCATTTATAATATTAGTATAGATTTAATCCAAATTGCCTACACCTAGTATGGAATTTAAACTAGGTAAGCAATTCGATTTGATCTTATAAATAATAACGTTTTTCTTGAGATTGATGGATTTTAAGTTTAAAAATATTACTCGTAAAAATAATACCCAATCTGCGGTATATTCGAGTATAGTCTTATTTTAGATTAATTATAAAAACATTTGCCTCTTTCCTTCCCCGTTACCGATTTCTTAAGCTTACTTATTCGATTACAACTTTTATAAAGTCGGTAATTTGAGCGTTAGCTTTTGAAATCGCGAATAATCTTAATAACAGCATAAATAAGATTTACTCTTAGAAACGGAAAAAGTTTAGATTGCCTCTCGATATTTGGCGAGGCTGTGTACCACAGTAGAGAGTTTACTCAGCAGTTCTACTTATAATAAAACACTTTAGAAGTAGTAATAGTTTATCTGACACATAAAATGATTTAGATACGTTACGTGTCAGCCAATGACCGTCCACTGCTAGACAAAAGCCTCCCCAAGGATTTCCAGCATTGTGTAGCACAGACCAGTAAAGTGACACATTTTTGCTGAAACGGGGAGATATTAGTTTAAATTCATTAAAATATCTTTCATAAACTTGGACTTACCACCGACATCATATAGGTGGCAAGAAGGCGCTGGACGTTGGCCGCTACCAACCGGTCAACATGGAAATCATTGTGTGAGGCCTATGTTCAGCAGTGGACGTCCTATGACTGAAATGGCATAAACTTGGACTTGGTGCTTTTTCTTCAGCTACTACTGAATTGGTAAAAATGTTTAACTTCGTACACAATCCAACAATAACTAAGGCTCTTTCAGTCTTCAATTCTTGTATTAGGGGTCATTACTGCCTCAATCTCTAATTTTGTTGAAATGTTAAAGTTATTACCATTCCTTACACCATTCAAAATATCCCGTAGACTTTATTACCAACGCGTTAAAGCCCAAAGTTCAATGGCAAGAGCTTTTCTGAAAGCTTTCGGTAAGTTTGTTTGAAATGTATGTTCTCCCGTGAGATGATGGATGGCTTAAAGTTGAACAACAATTTCCTACTTCAAGTTCTTTAATGTTCACGTTTCTTGTATGAACCGACGTTAATTTAAAAAAATATATAATTTAACCAGCGGCTGTCCGCGACTGTGAACGCGTGGATCCCGTTTTACCCCCTTAGGGGTGGAGTTTCGTAAAATCTCTCTTAGCGGATGCCTAAGTCATAACATCTACCTGCATGCCAAATTTCAGCCCGATCCGTCCAGTGGTTTGGGCTGTGCGTTGATAGAGCACTATGTCAGTCAGTTAGTCACCTTTGAGTTATTATATTTAGATTTTTAGGGTTCCCTACTAAAGGATACTCTATGTATTAATTTGCCTCCGCTGTCTGGCTGTGATCGACCAGCAGATCAAGCGCCGCAAGTGGAA